AACCTAATCTTGCTAAAGTCAATAGCAATGTTCGTACTGACTTTGGTGGAAGCAGATCTTCATCCTAAAAGCATTTGAAGTCTGCCGGTAACTTTATTCATATGAATAGTTCTATTGAACTCAAAAACAATTTTATATTTAGTGTGTATAAAAATACTTGAATTCTGCCTACAAGATCTGGCCTTTAGATTATACACCCCTTTGAATCAGGGCCGTGACTCTGCTGATGCTCAATAAATAACACTAACAAGTGGAAACACTTCAGAATGTATTTAGGGTAGAAATAGCATTTGCATTTCCTGCTAAACGTGAACTTCAGTCTTTTCTGTTGATTTGTATTGTTGTAGATTATTTTAAAAAAAGGATTGTCAAATGTAAGCAAGTAATACATTAAAAGAACGTTTTATTGAGCTGTGCAGTAATTTTTCTTTAAAATGAATGCTGATAGTTCTCTCTTCTTTACTGTCAGTCGCAAGTTGGTAGCAGCTTTGAGAAAGAAAACCATGTCCAAGAAAAGTAATTGCTCTTTCTGTACAACTCTTTCTCTTCTCCTGTATGTTGCACCAAAAAGTTCCAACCCCAAATATGTAAAATCAAAGGATTTGTTACAGGTCCTGGTTTTATGAGGTTATAGTCACAATTCATTCTTTGCTAGACATTCTTCATCTCTACAGTCTTCTTTCTGTGTTATTTTCTCAGGTGCTGTTTTGGTAGCTGACTTGTGCTATCTTGTGGTTTTCACTTGTCGTGTGTTTCAAAGGTAGGAAAATATTTGCCCTGTCCATAAATGATCTTTTAAGAAAAATCAGTTATATATTATATCAGTATAATATAATAATAACCCCTTGCTTAAGTACTCTCCAGAGACTGTATAGTGCTTTACAAATATGAATATTTCATCCAAAAAGATTGTGATTTGTCCAGAATTCATGGCAGCTCAGTGGTAAAAGCAGGATTTAGAAGCAAGGTTTCTCAGCTTTCCCTCTGCTGTTAAAGCCAATAGGCAATAACACCATGAACGTCTACTTGGGGGTGGGGGGTAAAAGTTAAACATTAAACCATATCCTAACACTGACTTTATTCAAATAAATAGCACACTTCTCTCAGTTGCTCTGCAGTTGCTCTGTAAATACCTACTTGTTTTAAAATTCTTGTTCTCTCTAGATTTAGTAATTATTAAACCACTTGGTTTTGCTCATCTGCCTAAATGCTTAATGTAAACTTCAGGTGCTCTAAAAGCAGAGGTATGCAAAACACTTGTCTTGACTAATCCCATGAAGGCCCAAGATTTGTCTTTTTGTAAGAGTTGTCACCTGAATTCAACTCCGTACGACTGCCAAGAAAATGAGCATTAAACTCTAGGTAATGGGTGAAGAATTATTTTGTTCTGAGTGAAGGCTGAGAAGGACTGAAAAGAGGGAGAGAAATTGCTGGAGAAGAGAGGAATCTAGTCTGCTATACCAAGATAAATATAGCTGGTATATAGAAGAAAGGAAAATCAGTAAATAACAGATAAACACGATTCTGTTGAACTTCTATTAAGTAGCAGTGCGGTAAGCACATGGGAAACAATGGATTTATAATGTAGACAGTAGTTCAGAGTTTATACAGATTTTTAAGAGCAAAGCAGATAAAATAGAAGAAAATGTCTGAAAATGGAATAGAATTCTTTATTTAACCAGAATCCATTCCCTAACATATATATATTTTGGATCGCTTGCATAATCCCTGACCTCCCAGTGGTTTGAAAATGCTGATTTAATAGAATGAATGCAAATGGAAAGAAAACTTTTAGCTTAACCAAGTAAGAATCAGAAGCCCACACAAAATAAACAGACATAGCTAAGGGCCTGACTGTGAGCCAGCAAAGCACGCTGCAAAAATACATTTTAGAGTAAAGATGTTATTAGGAAAGAATATTTTACTAGAGCAAATAAATGATTCCCTGCAGTCATAATAGATTCATAAAAGAAACTGCTAATGTTTTTTCCTACTAAAAAAAGAAAATTAGATTTTTCAAAACACCTTGAGAATATTTTTAGGGTGAGCAAAGTGCTAATGATTTAGGAAGATTTTCAACTTTCTACTCTCCTCTGCTGTTGTCATCCTTAGCGTCTAACTTGCTTGGGCTGCCTTTTGAGATAGCCTTTTCACTGATAACGAGTGCCACAAAATTATTTATAGATAGGTAGTATCTTACCTCACCTACCCTGTTGATATATTGAGTTCACCATCTTGTGTATACGAATTTGTATGATCAGTAAAGCTGATTTTAAGGAAAGAAAATTTGACTTCCTGCACACAGCTCTTACAGACCAATATGGGCTTTCTGGTGCCACATTCATCCAGAGCTCTGTTTCATTGTAAAAATGGCCCTGGTATCTCATATAAATATGTACTTCTGGAGGAAAATGAAGCAGTATGGAAGAAGATGCGTTTACTGCAGTATGCTTTGCTAATGCATGTTTTGATCTGTTTCTCTTGACATTCAGCTTTATTTTTGCGCTCACAAATGTCAGTTCCATTAATCTCTCCTTAACATGTGAACTAACAGAAGGTGTTTTCAGCCGCAACCTGTGTATTTAAAACAGTATGAACTCATCTACAGTTTGCACAATGCAACTGGCTGTATGGAAAGCAGAAATTGCTGGTTGGTGAGAAACGCACTCGGAATTTTATAAATGAATGTCATCTTCAGTGGTGTATATCTCATCTTATTGTCAAGTATTGCAGAAAATCCTTGACGCGTTTACCCATCAGTTTTAACAAGCCATCAAAATCTGTCTGGAATAAGCCCTGTGTTGTTAATGTAATTCTTGCCAGTTACAAGTTACCAAGTTTTGAAAGGTCAGTCTGGTTCACTATTTGTGTATTTTCTGAGTGGTCTTATGTCTCTGCAGTAAGTGTTACCCTAGCAAATACCATTCCTAAATTAAGATTGTATCTTCAGTGACACTGTTGGATGAGTAAAGCTCTAGTTACCAGTCTTTGAAAATATTTTCCAGAAACACCTATGCAGAAAAGCTGATATATATTTTATGTATATGTATTATGTTCTAACTCATCTGAGCATTTGCTTCCAGCATAGTAATTTCACAGGTTTGGGAGTAAAATGACTTACCACCTTGAAATCAAGGTTCAAGATGTTGCTGTCAAGTCTATTGTGCATGAAAGCAGAAATTTGCCTGAAAATAGTTTTAAGTGGACTAAGTGCATCTTTGAATGAATTATACTAGATAATTTTCCAGTGCAGCAGCATACATAACAGTTGCCATCTGAACAAATGATAATTTATCAACTTAATGTATGGCAGTATTTGGAAGAAATAATTTTTGGCACCTTACTTGGAAAGAGAAGGCAGTATCTCTGAAGCATTTGCTTTCTTCGCTCTTGATGGTTTTAACACACTCTTTTAACTCTCTTTCTTTCACTTGCCATAAACCAGTATCTCTAGCTTCCTTTCATCCTGAAGATCCCTGTTCTCCCTTATCTTTATCTGAGTCTGGGTGCACCTATTTGACGTATTTATCAATGTGAGAATTTTGCTCAGAAATAGTACCATTTGGGGCGCAGGGAAGCTTGCGAGTGAGCTTGCCCTGTGTGAGACTGAACTGCTGATGTAATCCAGCAACCATTGCCTTTTAATGCTTAAGTGAAAAATACCAGCAAGCCTTAGCTTTAGCATGAAGTGTGATACCTACACATATACTTTATCTGCTTTTTTAATTGAAGCTGAATCATATGTAACTGCATATGTATAGGAAGTGTCTTCATGTCTATATATCATTTTAATGCTGATTTACATGTGTATTGTAATGTGTTCTGAGTAAACGTATTCTGCATATGTCTTTTGAAACAGAAGACATCAGAAATCTTCACAAATAATTGGAACCATAAGATAAGCAGAACTGAAAAGGACAAAAGCTTCCTGAAAGTGGATTTAAAATGTTTTGCTAGAAAGTTATTTCCAAAATGCTGTCAGTCTAAACGCAGAATTTTTTTCTGCCAGTCTGTAAGAAGGGATAAATGTAATACTGGTGGAATTAATCCTTTGATACTATTATAGATGTGACTATTAGTTCTGTTCATTTTAGTGTACTAAAGTTAGGTCTTGGAGAAGTACTCATTTTCAGCTGTAATGCAAGATTTTATAGCTATGAAGTATATTTTCATTGAAGTCTGTCTTTAGTCTGGTCTGAAAGAAAAGTTATTGCATTCATTTGCTGCCTGTATGGTTTCGTATCCAAGAGACCAGGACGCATTGCAAGGTTCCAAAATGATATGATAATCAAGCTAAATATGCCAAGGCTTACTTTTAAGTATGACTGTTTTTGGAAGCTGTGAGGGCTTAATGTCAGTGGCCCAAATCACTACTTGTTACGAATAGGCAAAACTCCATTTAAACAAAATAATTCATGTTCACTTACACCAAAAAAAAAAAAAATCTGGTCCAATGTTAGTTAGCTTCATGTCAAAAATCTAAATTTTAACTTCCAAATTATAATGACATTGGAGAGAATTATGTTGTTCTTATTCTGAGATAGGATATATTATATTTCGAATCAATGATTCTTTTTCTCAAATATGAGTCGCAATGTGTTTTGGCTTTGTTTAGACTAACGTCGCGGATGAGTGAGGAGTGATGCACTTCACTCCTAAGAGAGAAGCAGCAATATATTATATTGAGATAAGGTAATGATTTAGCAAGGTTCAATCATAAATAAGACAGTGATTTAACAAGGGTCAATGGCAATGTTAACTCGGTTATTTTCTGCATGGTGGACAGGGTCATACAAAAGTGTCAAGGAGAACCTCCTGTTGAGTCACGAGGTTCAGATGCCCTTGCTCTCTAAACTCCTTCCCAGAGGAGTCGGGGTGCGGCTGGATCCAACCTTAGTCCCAGACTTGGTCACCGGTTTATATCTAAGGACTATGTGCACAATCAATCAAAGAGGTAACTTAGCAGAGTTACAAGGTTTAGCATGCTATTAGTCGCTTACCAAGGATCTGCCGCAGGTAAGGAATCTCTTGACGACCAAGAGTAACCTTGAGAGGTGTCCCTGCTCAAGGGGATATCCTGACATGCAGCCTGCTGCCATGCAGGAGAGCTCAAAGGGCTCTGGGCTGCCCCCTATTTATGGGGTGAGCTGATTGACTCATAGTCATATTTGCATACTGGCCATATTTTGGTCAGTGCATGCTCACTAGGTGAAAGTTCAGGTTGGAGGGTTGAGGGAAGCACGCTGTCACAGCTAGTATTTCATAAACTGTCAAAGTGAGCACAGACTCTGCTGGAGCTTATGAGAGTCAGTAAACCGAGCTGTTGTTTCTAATAGTGCCTCAAATTTTATAACTCATTACATTAGCTCTGATGAGCAGAATTGTAGTTTGCTGCTGAAAGTTGTGTTTGTGGAAGAATAAGAGATAGCCAGTGCAACCAACTGAAATTCACTGTGGGCCTGTCGTGGATCTCCACATGTGGATGCATGAATTATGCAGTCATTTGCGTACTGCTTGCTTGTCAGAGTTGTTATTAAATGCAAAAGAAGCTGAAATAACGTAAAGGATCTAAGTTAAGTTGGCAGAGCAAGGAAAAGTACAGCACAGTCTGTCCTCGTTTCACCGTTCTTACCTGTGCATCAAAAAATGGATTACAAAATGAGAACCTCTGTTATACAGTCTGTGCAATGATATAGGGGCACAACAACTTGATTTGATGATGGCATTGCAACAATTATCTCATATGCACTTAATTTAATTAGAACTGTAACATCTTTGGCTTTTCAATATGTACTTTGAGCAAAATGGGTGCAGCATTGGTTCTTCCCAATGCTTAGCCAATCTAGTTTGCTCTGTCTCTAACAGAGCAATGCAAGTAATGTAATAATGTGTCTGTTAAATTTATTTGGTTGCTGTTGACAGAGCTAGCATTCTATCATTATTGCTTCAGGTTCATTGAGCTGACTGTTTTGCATTGGTTTCAGTTTTCAAACCTGTGGAATATATTTTAATTGATTTCATCCTTTTCCAGGCTTCATCAAAAACTCTTTGGGTGTGTTACCACTGGCTCCATGTTAATTAGCAAACATTATTAGCGCTTTTTTTTAATCTATGCTAGAATCACTTCAGCTAATAGTGTTCTTTGCTTAGGTAAAGCACAAAGAGAAAGAACTCTCTGATTATCAGCTTTTAGTCACTGACCTACAGGGTTAAGGTGTAATTAGTACATTTAAGGAGAAGCGTTCTTTACCATTAGTCTTTGGTTATTGCTGTAGATGAGTGTATTGGCCTGCATCCTTTTCACTAGTAAGAAAATATTTGAAACATCTTTAAAATAGTATACATAAATCTTAAAATAGAATAAGAAATACATGTTCTGCACATAAGCTAGAGGATTCAAAAGTAGACAGAAATCAATGTTACTGATATATTTAGGACTAATCCTGCCTTTATGTTCAAAAATATGCAGAAGCTGAAGAAAGCAAAAGGTGTACCTCTGCCCAGTCAGTATTCACAAACAGTTCTGAACTGTTATAATAATCACTTTATAAATGGTCTTTCAATAAGGCTAAATGGATGCCTCCAGATCTCCTTTGCGCGTGGACTCCTTCTTACTCTATTTAGTTTGTGTAGACACTACTGCGTGTGGGAATTCAGCAACTCCATCTCTGGCGATCTCACAGTGCCTGCCTGCCTCAGGCACTTATTATCTTAGTTTTGAACTGGCTAAGAATCTCCTACGTATCTTTTGGTGGAAAATGCAAATTTGCTGAAACTGAAAGTGAGGGAGGGGGAATTTTTTTTAATTAAGTGATGTTGAATTTGTCCAAACAAAGTGCTTTCAATCTCCAGTATGAAAAACAGAGGTTTTTGCCCCATTTGAATGAGTTCTTGTTGTGAAATTTTAGGTAATTTTAATAAAAACAGTAGTATGTTTAAAATGGTTGAGTTCAAACTGAAATTTGTCAAATGAGTCAAAAAATGTGAGAATTTAGCCTGCAACAGGTTTTGAGATTTTTTACTTTCTGTGCAGACTAAGGGTGGGAAAAAATGTATATCTCCCAAATGTTCAGAGACAATAAAATTGTTTTTCTTCTTATTCTAATGTAGTATCTAAATGCCAGGAAACATCTATGTGGGGTCTGATCTCTCCATCAGATCTTGCTTGTAAGATAAGCAATTGAGTTTAGCTTTCTAACCTTTCCAAAAATGAAGTGACAGATTTTTAAAAATCAGTCAGCTGTCTGCGTATGTATGTGTTCCTACTAGATAGTGAAGACCTGAAAATACACTATGGAAATGAAAGGTAAACAACAGAAGTATAAGGCATAAATCATCTAATATTCTGTCAATGAAAAGTGTAGCATTTAAGAACTAACTAAAAGTTTGCTATACAGGCAAATAAGAAGTGATAAATAGCATTATGTTGGTTTAGAATGTAGGAAAACGAGTCTGGATGCCAGGATTTTCTTTGTGGCTGAACTGTTAAATTGTCATGTGGATTTGGATTAGCTATCTCAATTTTGTTTCTGTTTCTTCTCTCAGCATTTGCCATGTGTACTTAGGTTGTTACCCAGGAAGAATTATTTCTTAATATGTGTTTTTCTGCAGTGACTAGTACAACTGAGTCTTGATCTCAATACAGGATTTCCAAGAATCCTGGCATACAATAGAAAGTAGTGCCCTGATTTTACATATCTGAAAAATGACTAGTACTTAACACTAGAAAAAGCTATTCAGAGTAGCTAAACTATACAAGACATCCCAACAGCAGCTGAAAAGACTCATCAACATTAATCTTCACATACATGAGATAAAACAGAGAGGTATGACCACAGATACAAGCAAAGGAGAAATAAGGTGGTGATAGGAAGGCAGCAAAGACAGAACATATGAGAAAAGGAACAGGTAGCAAAAGCAGAGATACAAAAGCCAAGTACTAGCTAGGAGCCAGTCATAAAAGGCAAAGAGGAGAAGCTGTCCAGGAAGTGCCGCAAAGCAAACTATTCGGGTTTATGCACAGTTATGGCAAGGAAATGAGCAAGAGAAACCACAGGTATACACTGCATGGTCCTGATGAATTCTCTTGCCCTGGCAGTGGCATTAGCTGCACTCACGTTCCCACTTGAAGCACCCAGCTCTTTGCTGGCTCTTTCACCCCCCTCCCCCCGATGGTGAGGCCCATGGAGGGCTGGTGATCTTAGGCAGGACCTGGGAAGCCTGTATCTCACTTTGGCCTGGACCCCTCACATAAAGCAGGATGTTCTTCTGCTATGTGACGTACGGGAAGTGCTCAGTCCCACTCGCTGTGCCTTTGGGAAGTCTGCCTCCGCTCCTACCATTTCATGGAGTCGGCTCCTGTCTAGCAGGCAGTTACCCAATCTCAGCTACAGCTTTTTGAAAAGAACTGACCCAAAGTACATTTGTATGAGCATACCCAGAGGAAAAGATCAAAGTGAAGTATTAATATGTCCAAAAGAAATTTCAATAATATTTCTTTAGGTGACCATAAACAGGAAAAGAACATCCTTGAGATAGGATGTAAGGAGAAGTCCATGCTGTTCAATGCTTTTATCTGTAAGGCTACTTAGTTACAGAATATATCACTTTTTACAGCAGGAAAGTGCAACTTTATGTGCCTGTACAGGGAGCATATCAGCCCTGAAATTTCTCAGCAAAGCCATCCTGACAGTAAATCACTACTGGAACTCAAGAGCCTGAATATAGTTGGTTATGATAAACAAGGTTTAGAAAAAGTTTCCTGCTATTGTAAAGGCATCATTTGGACACCGTAAGATGAAACTGTCAATAAAATAAGCGCTGGTAGTGCTTGCAGCTCAGTAGCTGCCTTAAAAGGAACATTTGTGCATATCGCAAAAATGGAAATCAAATGAGAAGGTGGAGAATCAAAGTCTACCAATAAGCCTGCAAAATAATGAGAATAAGAGAACACTGGTGCAATGAAATTTGTAAAAAGCACAATAAGGTTAAGGGTGTGCTACCCAAAAAGCTAAAGATTGGCTTAGCTATTTATAAACTCAGAATGAAAGAGAATGAATCGTCTCTGAGAAATGCCTTTGTACTGAAAGATGAAAAATGTGGGCAAGAAAGGTTCTTACTGCCTAACAAAGACATGATCAGATATCTTTGCATTTGTACAAGTGGCAGCCACAAGGATCTGGGAACTAGAGCAGTACTTGGTATCTTAAAAATGTCTACATGCTGTGAAGGGCGGGATATATTAGGTCAGCACATCACTTTATGATATGGCTGCATGGTATCTAGCAGCTTCAAGATACAGTGAAATGACTGAACTTAGCAATGCTAAGTAGCTACTACAATAATGAAATACAGAGCAAGAAGTAAGTGTTCTGTGTGGTATGTTTGCAATGGCTAGTGCACCATGGTACCTCTGGGGAATTTACAGGATTGATTTAGTAAGATGCTGAGAAAAACTCTTTTGGATTCTAGTCTTTACCAACAGAAATGTTAATAAGCAGAAAGAAATGATTTCTGCTAATGTTATGCTGTTATGCTTTCTAGCAGCCTTTCAAGTTGAGACAAAATAAAATAACTGAATGGTAAAAGGAAGAGAGAATTCGTAATGTTAACTTCCCAGACATAGAAACAAGCCTCTAAACTTCATCGTGGTGAGAGCAGAGACAGCTCAGACACCACCAGTTCAAGCACGGTCACCTAACGTCATTCTGCAATCCTGCAACTTTCCCTTCATGTGCCAAGGGACATTCAAACACAAAAAGGGAAAGCACAGTCGTCCAGGCTGCTACTAACCAAGAACATTATTCTGGCACCTTTTATTTACAGAGAATAATATATTCATGAATAGGTAGGGCCAATGGAACAATATCCTCGTAAGAATATTCTTCATAGTCGGACTCCTTGTATGTGCTAAGATGAAACAATGAGAACAGGGGATTTGAAAACCTGGTTAATAAAAGTGTATTTAGTTTCCCCTGTCACGTATGCAGTCAAAGCCAAAAGATAGATACTCTTGTTAGCAGTGAACAGCCCCGTTTGACGCCTGCCTTTGGAAAAAATAAAAAATAAAATACTCAAACCAT